CCCCCCCCCCCCCCCCTTGTCATCATTTCAGTTCTACACCACGGGTTGTAATCCACACTGAAAGTAAAACCTATTTATTAACTTACCTTCTGATCGGCGAAGTAAAATGAGTATAAATAGGTGTAGCCAGACCATAATGTAGGTACTCTTCTTCTGGTAATGTTCCTGAACAGAAATATACAGCTTGTAACATACATCTCGTCGTCAAAATACGGAGTAATGTGTTGAAGTATGGAAATTCTGGTAATGAAGCTTGTTCTAAGGAGACGGCCAATGATTTCGCGGTCTCTACTTGTACGTCCACATTCTAAAGTAAAACGCAAAAACGTTTAGTCATCAGGGTAGAGTATAGGACAACATGCAATTATGACAAGCACTGTACCATCAGAGGTTAGGCCAGCACAAACTTAGTGAGGGATCCATCAAGCACCAAAGCTGCGAAATAACTATCGGATTCGTTTGAATACCCACAGCTCCAACATTTCTAAGTGATGTATGATACGTTTTGGAAAGGTGCCAGTCTATGTCTGCATATCAACACATTCTTTTTCAACTTTGAAGAATTGCAGAACTAATGGGAGAGAAGTATGGGCCGAATGAGAGACAACCCGAGGTCTCGCAGGAGTAAACTTTCATTTTACACGTAAAATATTGTTAGCAAGATGTGTTTCTTCCTGATGATGATTGCAAGTTGAGTAGGACGAACAATTGAATTTAAATGTTAACACGTTTGTAGTAAGTTGGTTAACGGCAATGATGCTTTCTTCATGAAACCGGTATAGGTACAAGTGAGTTAACGTTTTTCTTTGTAAAGTTCAATGTTTTAATCATTCTCTAAGAATATTCCGCTACATTTTCAATCGATTGATGAAATAAGTATAAGGAAAATTCGGTCGGTTTGAACTTCAAGAACAAAAGTTGTCTACAGAAATATACTATTTCCATTGCAGTGAAACCAGCCGTTTTCTCCTAGCTAGTTAAGCCCTCCCTGGATCTTTACATTTTGTTTCCGGGGCTTGACAATAAACGAATATTCCATTATCAATACTATACCTTGGATTTAGCAGCCTTGACAAGCGGGTCAAAATTAGAGGGTGGAGGCGAGGGATGCCTTCGTAGTACAGCATATTCTGGATAATGACTCAGAATTTTTTTCGCCACTGAAATATTAGCCAGCAACATAAATTCCTCAACCATTGAATTCGTTTCCCTAAAGTAGATCGTAATGTATTGTGCACTTAATATATACTCCAGGAATAACTATCCATCTGACTAAACTTGCTTCAAGTCGACTCGTATTATTTAGTACCCTGGATTCCAGAGCTTCGACAGTAAATAATAAATTGAAATGTCGCGAAGGCTCTGGTTCAACGTGGAGATTCTTTGATTGAACCGCACCAATCACAAAACAGAATTAGTGATTTTAGTACAGAATCTGTACTAAAACCACTCATTCTGTTCTGTGATTGGCGCGGTTTAATCAAAGAATCTCCCCGTTGAACCAGAGCCTTCGCGACATTTCAATTTATTATTTACTGTCGAAGGCTCTGGAATCCAGGGTAATTATTTAGCTGCAGGGTTCAAATTTCTTAAAGTGCGGATATTAGCGACGGCGGGTTTTGTTGACTCGACTTGTTGCTTTAGCAGCGCGCCAAATTTTACCACGGTCTCCTTCTATTAACCGTGATTTTACCGACTCGAATCCTAGTCGGTGCGTATTACTCAGACAGATTTAAGAATTCGTCATGCATTATGATATATGATCGAATTGGTCATGCATTATATGATCTTTTCTGTGTTTATCTATGCATTGGTAGTGTTAGGATAAAACACGGATGTGGACGGATAGACGGCGGACGGACGAGAGGGTAAAATGCGGACGGACGGATGAGAGAGTGAAATGCGGACGGACGGATGAGGGGGTAAAATGCAGACGGACAGATGGTCCCTCCCATGCGTCCGCATCCGCGTTTTATCCTCTTATCCGTCCGCCGTCTATCCGGCTGCATTCGCGTTTTACCCTAACCCGCATTGTATACGTAATCGAAGCAGTTGTGAGGAAACATAGTGAAGCAATTTTAAATATTTTACGTTTTGAATTAGTGCCGTCATGTAACCTTTCACGGTAAGGAAATGTAATTTCCTGCAAGCGCAAAAAGTAGACTCATTCTCGCTCCCTCGCGACAGCTCAAGCACGCCCGATCGTTTTATTCGCTCAACCGTTTTCGCTCGGTTTACTCCTTACAATACGAGACAAGTCACAATGCGTTACGATGCTAGTCGACAGGTAGCAAGTCTACCATCAAACTTGTTCATTGCTGACATGAACAAGAGGGATGATTCAGAAGCCGTGCCAAGCATTCGCATAATACTCCTGATGCACTACGCTGGAGTAAACTTTGTAATATTATCACAAATCACACCCATTTACCTATAAGAAATGGCCGATACTGGGTGGAAGACAATGGGCGATTAATCACACTCCCAGTCCATTAAAATTCTTAAAGTTTTTCCAAAAGATAGTCGAACACCTGAAGGGATATTACTTAAGTTGAGAAACAAAATTGAAGACTGTACCTTGCGGTGAAAGGGAGCGAAAATAGAAATGTTCAACACTGTTAAAACGAACAAACAGTATCTTTACCTCAGTTCCTTTGTTTCAACGTCAATTGGGTCGTGTGTTTCGCTGTCTATGTGGAATCTTATTTCAGGTGATGCTAAAGTCAATGCGCTGTTAAAAACAAAAATATTTGTACATTCAACAATCATGAAGCAACCCGTTGTCTAACTAGAGGTATGGAGCATGCGCAAAACAAGTATATAAGGATGAAGACTGCTGTATCCATGCGTACATGAAACCATTGATGATCATGATTGTTTCATATCAGTCTTTATAAAAAATAAGAGTCAGTTTACAGAAGCGTCAAATTATGGTTTTTGTCACTATCAGCTATTATATAACACCTCATTAAATTCAGGTCATTTAATTAGCTGATTATGACCACGTGATATGGAATTAAATCCCCACTTTTCTACTGTGCAAAACCGTGAAATAGTACTCGTACCATTGCACGGTAAGGTTTAATTAAATTCAATCATTCGAAATCCTATATTGGTATGGTAAGCGTAGCTTATTTAACTATAATTCTCATACTGAGACCGATGGAATTAAATTCAAATACATAACTCGTGCGATGCAAAATGGCGGGTGTAAAAATTCAATATTTTTACGATAAATGACCGCCATTATCATATTAATTCTTCACTAAAACATTTGTTGGCACTTTTTTGTTGGATTTTAATTATTT